CATAAGTATGAACAACAGTATAGTATATATTATTGTTATTGAAAAACAAAAAATTATGTATCAATACATTCGCAATTTGACCATATTGGTCATTTTGTCCTGAAATTGATAAACTACGCCTTGCGATGTGATGAGTGAGTGTAACTGCAACGATATCAATAGACATACGGATCTGATCGACGTATGAGTTGATTAAATGGTCTGTAACCTTCCAATCGCTCGCCGATGAGCTGATACGATCCAAAACGCACATAAAAGAATTCTCATCTCTGATTATGTGGTAAGTATGATCTAGCACGAACAGCACATACCACCTAGTATTAATTTACGTCTATTTAAAAAAAACATGTTTTGTGTTGGACATTCAACCACGCGTAAGTATCGTGCGCTTCAGATATGAATCCCTGGTGTAGTTAGAATATATGCGGTCCCCGTAGATCTCATATATATCCTAATTGTGTCCGAATGCCTATCAGCTACCGATTTACATTATCCTTGCACAACTACGGGTTCACTAATTGCCGACCAGAAATATACTTGTGCCCATATGTGGTACATGAATGCTACATACATATATATATGCAATAGCTGAACCATGTATATGGTACATAGTCGTAGTCGTATACACACTTAAATCATACCGTAACTTTGGAGCACATCTTGCTTCCCTACCCTTCAGTCGGCACTTTCATGTGCTACTTGGCATAGCTGCACAGACACTTGACATAGATTACACTGTAACGAATGAGCTGATCTTGCTTCCGTGCCTTTCCAGTAGCATTTCTTCTATGTGGTTATCGCTCACAGGCACATTGACCACGCTGACTCTCTCTACATCTTGTTCCCACAGGTTTGACTTCACTTCTGGATACTCGTAGATAGACTCCTATACATAGTTATTATCTCTATATACACGCACACACTCCGGATCAATGCACTGTGACCAAATGAATAGACCGTTCGACTTTACCTTTCCAACAGCACTTCCACGAGGCTATCGCGCACCAGCACATCAGCAACGTTGGTCACCCTGATATCCCCCCCATCTAGTTCCCACAGGTCTGACTGGGTATGTTGTATGCATGTAGATAAACTCGCTAACACGGCTACCATCTCTAAATGGGTCATACCATCCTTACTCGACAACATAGCCACGCATATCTGTACGACTGTACTTCTAATGTCACCTATAACATCGCTTTCGACTTGTTCTGCGTCTGCATCTCCAACAACATCTACATGTTCATCTTTATCTTCCACGCGGATATGGGTGTTCTTTCCTCCATGTCCCAGTTTCTTCCCCTCATTGTTGCCTTTACTACTCGAAGAAGTGTCAATGGTAGTGCAATGTTGCAACAACTGCCGTAAGGGCTCCTCCGAGATCACAAACCCCCCAGGAGAGGACATCTTGTATTATATCGACCAAATACGATACATGAATCACATAGCTTTCCTTTACATACCGCTAGCTTTGTAACTAGGTGAAGTATGAATCAGATGAGTACATGCGATGGAGGTATTATTTATATGTGTAATTATGGCATTGCGTGTCTGTAATACTATGTACGACTTGTATGTATGTGCTTTACGTGGGCATGGCAAGTGCGTACGGTTTTACGGATCGCATTTGTCCCTGTCGTACTATGTTTGTAGTGCGAGCACAGTATATAAAAGCTAAAGGAACTCTTTCATCCACACTACCGATTATACGTCGATATGTTTGGTGTCGTGTGTGTTCCTATACCACAAATAAGTGCTCATATATTAAAATATGAATTTGCCTCTGTACACCTCTACTACCTTTTATTTACATAGAGAGGGAGAGAGAAGCTCTGTACTGGAAAATAAATAATAATCAATCAAAGTATAAATATAAATGATGGCTCTTGATACACATATTATTTTTACTCAAAAGGATGACTCGAAAAGGCTTTTTTCCATATCAACCGCGTCGGCTTTGCTTCTCCCTGTTGTTGGGGTCGATCATCCTCTCTCTACTGTGCTCCACTATTGAACAATACATGTTTCAAAGGTGCTATCATAGATGAGCGATAATTATTTGAGTCTTGCCCTGATGCACTACGAAGCGACTTATGTGTATCACAATGAGGCCAAAATTTTACACCATTTCGATTTGTAACTAATATGCAGTGCTGGCTTCCGCGTCATTTATTACGTAATATTTATTTTATCAGTCTAGATATATAATTTCATATATTCGTATATAT